ATAAAAATGGTATTTTTATGGCAGAATTTATTTAATTGTTTTCTGATGTGGCATTTGCTGATTTCTTGCTTTCAACAGCACCATGACAGAATTAGTAAAAACTAAGCTACATGATTTAGCAGAAGCAGCAGCTAGAAAATTTACACAGACAGGGTGCTGTGCATTAATTACACACAGGGTGAAGCGAGTCCTTTAAGAGTTAAGTTTATGGGAGGTGGGACTGAAGCCTGTAATTATACTTTCAATTCTTGAATCATGATTTAAACCTTTAGGAGGCAGATTTTTTTTTTCCCCCTGAGACAAATTATAAAACAAAGCTCTTGCATAATGTGAAGCTGGCAGACATTCCAACAAGAGAAACAGGACCTGCTACCCTAGATAACCACACACACATGCTTTGTGGAAAAGAGAGCAAAAAGTTATTTTAGCTGCTGCTGTCAGGCTTCAGCACTGAACATCTTCCTCTCAGAGTGACCAACGTGGCACATAAAAGGCTTCTACTTCAAGGTCACAATTTCTCAGTCCAGAAGGTGGTCTAGAAATGAGATTTATTAAGAAGCTTCACAATTTTGACAACCTTTACATTTGTATCATTCCTATGGATAAGGAATGGAGAACAATTTAGTTCTGATAGGTTCTTCAAGCTTTGAAAAAATGTCAAAATTCAACCTAGAAACCAAGCTGGAGCCAAGCAAGCAGCTCAAGCTGGTGTTAGTTATGCTACTTTATCTTTGCATTTTAATTGAACGCTTTTTTTTTTTTTTGTTAGTTTTAGCCTGGAGCATGCTTCGTTTATTATACAACTACCTGTCTGCATTAGCTGCAGCCTCGGTCACTGCAGCCTGCTCATCCCCGCACTGCCCTGCAGAAGGGCTGGTGCCCGGAGTCCTGGTGGAAGGTGCATGCTGCCCTCTAGTCGCCTTTGAGTTGCAGCGCCTTTCAAGAAGCACAACCCAGCTCCCCAGGCTAACCACCAGTGCCTGCCCGGGATGTTTTAAGGTAGAGGATGCACAAGGACCTTTGAATGCGAACCAAAGCAGGAGCTTTTACCAACACCATTCTTTGCTGTACTAATTAAAAAGCCCCGGGAAAAATGCAAAATTTACAGTACTTTCACTGCAAATATTTTCACACCTCAGAGAAAAAGAGCTCCAAATCCACACCACAGGAGGCAACAAGGTACCGCACTTTCGTTCTCCCAATAAAGTCTGTTTCACTACATGCCTTGTGATCAGTGCAGGGCAGTGGCTTCTAACTTATCCTCACCTCCACTCCCTTAGTGAAGCCAAGTTATAGCTTTCAACAAAAGCCACAGTATATTTGGTTAGCCATCACCTTTAATAAATAAAAGTAATTTAAACTTCTGTTTAACTGCTGAAAGAAGCTACCTGCATTTTGCCCAAGCCCTGTGCTTTCCCCTTGAAAGCACCCCTCGTTTTAGGAGGGATTCAGAAATGCCCAAAAATTCAGCTTCCCCCAAGAGCAGGGGCAGGCAAAGGAACATTTCAGGTTTTTCAAGCCAAGTAGATGTTAAACCTGGATTGACAGTGTATTTTCTCTTTCTTTGGCTCATGGTCTTGGGTACTACAGTGGCACATTGGAGCAACCCTGAAATTCAATTTAACTTCTACTTCACTCCTTAACCAGATTTTAAGAGTTGGAGCACACAAATTAATCACAAACACAGCCCGATTTTTGCAATTACATTTATTCTAGGTATCTCAAGACTTAAATCTTATTGAAAGCAGCTACATCCATTGATTGTACATAATCTTCAAAAGCTGTTATTCTCTCTTCCAGCATATCTGTTCCAACTTTATCATCTTCAACGACACATTGGATCTGAAGCTTTTTGATACCATAGCCAACTGGTACCAGTTTGGCTGCAAAAACAAAGGAAGAAAAAAGCATTAATACTCTTTGATTGGTGGGATCTCTTAAAAATGCAGATCTAAGATTGAACTGACTAAAGCAGTTTGCAGGAATACATAAACAGCATAATTTGTTCCAGATTATAGACTGCCTGATCAACAACACAGCATTCACCACAAGGTAGTTAAGACAGTTTCTTTTTGTAGGTGTCTCCCCACCCAGCCAAACCAGTGATGTGGATGTATACATGTCTGCTTGCTGCACTAGGAACCTGCATTTGGCTCTTATCCTGGCTGCTGCACTAATAACACCTTTCTGACTACGTCAAGATAAAATGCAGGATTGCAATTCCTGCACTGTTGCAGCTACATTTTGTCAGATCAGCAAACAGCAACCACAACTCCACCCATTCATACACTGTATGTTAAGGGACTGCACTATCTCTATCTCCCTGCCTTGAAACCACCTCCTACTTACAGGATCCCCAGACCAATCCGTCTGCTTGAATGCTTCGAACACACTCCTCTAGCTTGGCCATGTCTGTCTCATCATCCCAAGGTTTCACATCAAGCAAGATCGATGATTTGGCAACAACAGCTGGTTCTGGGGGAAGAAAACCACCATTAAGAACTAGGAAATTTTCAAAACCTCATTAATATACTTGCAAACTAGCTTTAGAAGTGCAACTTTTCCAATTTCACCAACAACAACCTCCTCTTGTGACAGGCCTCTTGTACCAACATAAATTTCCTAAATAGTTCAGCTCTACATATGCAGATGTACATATGCTCTTCAGAAAGTCTCTTAAGAAAACACAGATTAAGAAGCTGATGTTGTTTGTTACACAGGAAGTCTTTTTCAGAGGATCTGAGAAGTAGCTTAATCCTGTGTAACAGTTTATTTTCCACAGAGGGAATACTGCAACTGCTACAATTCTGAACAGTTGCAGACCAGTAGCTGTGGAGGGACTTGCATAGTGCAGCCTTTTCTATACACTTTAAAAAAAAAAAATCCCAGGGTTACCTCCATTTAAATAGAAAGCTCAGATTCTGGATTAAATCAAACAAGAGTGTATTAACAGAACAAAAGCTATGTTAAAGTTCCTATTTGCTATGGGAAAGGCTAAGCTCACAGGCTATTCAAGCGAAGCTGACTACTCCCCATCTCATTCCAGTCAAGCCTGTATGTTACAGTTAAGGAGTGTTTCTAGCCACCCTGTTCAAATGTATGAAAATCCACCCAAGTGTAAGAGATTAAAAAGTTCCTGGTAGACATACTTTTGGACTTCTTTGATTCATACTGGGCCAGACGTTCTTCCCTCAGTTTCTTTGCTTCTTCGCTTTCCTGAAAGTGTAATCTAAAGTTACAGAAAAGCACCAAAACCCTGCATCTTTAAAGCATAACCAAGCTGACCGGCATCTACTCAGGCAAAAACAAATCATCACAACCATCAGCCGAAAGATGGTGATATTTTTGTTTTATTCATCATGTAGCCAGTCAAAGCAGGCAGTTCACCCCATTGCAATCCATTCCTTTCTAAGTCTTTTTACCTTCCAAGCTGTTCTGTTCTGCAGAGACAGCTGAATTTAAGAATTCCAAGTAGGATCTGGTATCAAGGTCACAAATTTAAGTAACTTAAACTAGTTAAGGCAAAGATCCATATACCTGGGTATTTCCAAAGCTCCAAACATAATACAAATAGGTCACACGTACCTCCTCATCATCAGATCCAAAAAGATCAATGTCATCATCATCTTTGCTATCTGTGGCTGCCCCTGTTGTGTCCTCCACATCAGCAGGACCATATTTCCCCAAAGCCTTCTTTACTCCTGGTAAGCTGAAACAAAGGATCAGGTATTAGAAACCTACTCAAGTGTCAATACCAATACCAACAATCTGTCAATGAACCTACAAGTGCATTCGGAATCAAATGCTGCCAAAAAAATATTTAAATCTAGTTCTGCTACTTGAAAACAGAACCTCCCCAAAGATGACCCCTGATAGTCCTGACATACTGCTAAGACTACAGCAAATCCCATATTCAAGGACTGTTCATCTGAACTGACATGATCCTGCCCAACCAACACTGCTGCTCCACCAAAGTGTATGGATAGAAAACACCTTCTTATTGGAATCATTTATCTGCAGTATGTCCTGTGTAGGAAAAGTTAATCGTCTTCCTGATCATGGTTTCCTAAAAATATTTTGTTTAAAAACAAAGTGACAGAAAACACCTTGTTGCCAACTTGGTAGGTTTCAGTGAATACTTTACTCTGAAAGCTGGGTCTCAACAGCACAGGAGGGACCAGAGCCCCCCAGATTAATTGTTCTTCGAACTTGTGTTTCTACAGCTCATCTAATTCTGTAGTTTTAGAATAGGCTTGTAGTTCTATTACTGTGAACTGCTGTTACAAGAATCATAAAACCAGCTTTAGCTTCAGGAACTGGAAGTAGTTTCCACAGAGCAGACTTTGTGAAGCAACTTTATCATCTCAGTCCCCTTTAGCATTTTAAGAGCTTCAGAAACTTTACGAGAGTTCCCTCCAAACTGGACTGAGGCACACAGAGGAGGCAGTGCAGCAATACTGACACTACCTATGCTGTACCTTTTTAGAGAGGCCTGCAGTCTCCATGGATGTCAATACAGCACCTTTCATGAACACTAAAATCACTAAAAAAGAAAAAAAAGATAGCATTTGCTTTCAGATCTCCCCTTCTCTGTACGTGCTTCTGCATTGCAAATCAATTTTGTTTTACCTTCCAGGAGTAAATTCTAACAAAGCACTTTCCTCATCTATCATCTATATATTGTATATTTACCTCTCATGACACCTGTAATACTTTCTAATCAGTTTTGGTGTCACTTTTATGGGGTCAAGTACTATTAAGAAATTTCCAGCTTTCAGCAGTTATCTCTGTGTAAATGGCAGCAACAACACTCAAGCCTTTCTTATACACTTCAGCAGATATCTCAACAACTGAACAGCGACAGAATCAAGTTGCCTAAATGCTAAGCAAGGAGTGTAAGAACTGACAGAAGAGGCCTGCTCTGCTAAAGTTGCTCCTGTTCCAACAGCAACACAAACAGCTACCTGGTACCAGTGAAAAACAACGGTTTGTTCAAACTCGAACAAACAACTGCAACACTTTGTAGGCCAGTATGCATATACACTTAAACTCTTCGTATTAGACATACCTCGCCTTTTGCTTTTCGTACGACTTAATGTGATTGTACCACCGAAGAGCATGAAACAAGTCTGCAGGAGGTGGAGCACTGATTGCTTCAAAGACTGCTATATCAGCCTGGGACGGGACGTACCTACAGAGAGCAAACCTCAGATTAACTCCCTTCCTCGGTGCACGCAGGAGCATGTGAAGCAGCAGCCACCGAGCGCTGAGACGACCGCGCCACAGCAGCAGCTCTGTGCGTTCCCCGGGCTACTGTTGGGCCCAGCAACGAGCGCCGCGTTAAGTGCCTGCAGCCAGGCGGGCTGTAGTGTCCCAGGAGCTCTGCCTGC